GGGAATTTTCCACAGTCAAGCGGCGGTGGATCACGCTCTCTCCTGTCTCGACATCCTGACACTCCACGACGGGACACGAGGCCTCCGACACCGCCTCAGGACGGGCCCAGCGGCCCTCAGGAAGGCCTTGGGACGGCCTTGCAGGGCTCCATGACACCCACGAGGCTCTCCCAAGACGGCCCCGAGATGGACTCCAGAGGATGGACATGAAGCGAAATTTCGAGTCTCTGCTTCCTGAAGCACACACGAGGCTTACTACAGGCGCGAGGACGGCCTCGGGCCCGAGGCCCCAGACGAGTGACCCGAGAAGCGAAAAATATTTTCCTCTTGGGGTTTTCGTTGTTGTTGGGCTCCCCCACTTCAAGCTTCCGACAGTCCGCGGGGGCCCAAAAGACCGCCAACACAGTTTCAGGATGAGCCCAGGAGGACCCGGAACGGCCTAACAGAGATCCTTCACGACCCCAGGGGCGCCCGAAACGGCCTCCGAGGCCCTGAAAACGGTCCCCAACTGGTCTCCACAGGGGGAGCATGAACCGAAATTTCGAATGTTTCGCCCAAGGAGACTCCCAGGAGGCTCGAGGAGGCTCCCAGATGCTGCCACGGGGCTCCCTGAGGACCACAAGAAGCCCACCACGACGCCCCAAAATGCTTTAATCGAGGCCAAACAACGGCCCCGTAGAAGCTCCCGCGAGGCCTCCTTCGACATCCCTCCTTCCCTGTCTTGTCCAAGCCAGCTCCTACCGCTTTGGTTCGTTACCCTACAACTCCCCCATCTCACTTCGCAGCTGCACCACCAGGACACCATCTCCGAGTGGCTCAGTCTTGCTGTCCTGCGGGCGTTGCAGCCTCTTTTGAGGTACCCTGACAACCTCCACGAGGACCCTCAGCCGGCCCCACACCATCATGTTCCCAGAGAACCTTCCGGGAACATGATTGTCACCGCCAGTCCGGCAAGGAGGCCGAAGATGAGGAGGTCGGTCCGCGCTTCCCCACCGAACGCTTCAATTCAGCGCAGCGCCTTGCCTTCGCCTTTCCAGCTCGAAGCCACGCGCCCCTCCCATATCCCGACCAGGCCTCACCACCATCTCAGCCTTTGCATGTGATTCCACTGGCCCGTCCTCCGGGCCGGGAAGCCACAATCGGAGAACCCTGAAACCGAGAGCCTTCGCGCGGCCAACTTCATCATGAGCCCAGTGAGTTTTCTGGGAACATAATTGTCGCCACCTGTCGGACTAGGAGGCCTAAGAAGAAGAAGCGGAGGAGGAGGAGGACGAGGGGGAGGAGGAGGAGGAGGAGGAGGAGGAGGAGGAGGAGGAGGAGGAGGAGGAGGAATAGGAGAAGGAGGAGGGGGAAGACAACGCCCCAGGCAGGCTCACAGGCGGCCCCAGTGGCGCCCAAGACGGCCCAGGATGGGCAACGACGAGAGGCCCAGACACGGCCCCCCAAAGGGCACCCGCGCGGCTTCCGTCGCCTTCCCACCAGGCCCCCAAACCGGCCCCAAAAACCAAACAACGTGACCCCAAAAAACCCAGCGAGGATTCTTTCGACATCCCTCCTTCCTTGCCCTGTCCTACCCAGCTCCTGCCGTTCTTGTTTCGTTACACTACGCCCCCCCCCAGTTTATTACTGCGCATATTCACCTCCGGGACAACATCTCCAAATGGCTCAATCTGACAGTCAGCCTCCCTCGAGGTACCCTAGCAACCCCCACGAGGACCCCAATGCGGCCCCACACCACCATGCTCCTATGAGCCTTCCGGGAACATGGTTGCCACCTCCAGTAGTCCAGCAAGGGGGCCGAAGATGATGAGGACGGTCCGCACCGTCCCACCGAACATCCCAATTCAGCGCAGCGCCTCGTCGTGGCCTTTCCTAACCCTGCCGTTTTTCAATCGAAACCGTGCGTGCTCCAATTTCCCGACCAGGCCTCACCACCATCTCAGCCTTTGGGAATGTTTCCGCTGGCCTGTCCTTCGGGCCGGGCAACCCCAATCTGGTAGCCTCGAAACCGACGGCTCCCGCGCGGCTCACTTCATCATGGTCCCAGCGATCCTTCCGGGAACATGATTGTCGCCATTAGTCGGACTGGGAGACCTAAAGAGGGAAAGGCGGGGGACGAGGAGGCGGAGGAGGAGGAGGAGAAGGAGGAGGAGGAGGAAGAGGAGGAGGAGGAGGAAGACGACGCGGAAAGGATATCGGCAACACACAGACCCACGCAGGCTCAAATGCGGCCCCAGTGGCGCCCAAGACGGCCCAGGATGGTCAACGACAAGGGCCCAGACACGGCCCCCCCAAAGGGCACCCGCGCGGCCTCCGTCGCCTTCTCAATGGGCCCCCAAACCGACACCGAGAGGCCCAAAAACGGCACCCAAAAAGCCCCCGCGAGGCTTCCGTCGACATGCCTCCTCCTTTGTCCTGTCCTACCCAGCTCCTACCGCTTTTGTTGCACCACCTTACGCCTCCCCCGTTTCATTTCGCAGCTGTACCACCACGACAACAGCGCAAAATGGCTCATTATGGCTGTCCTGTGGGTTTTGCAGCCCCCTTCGAGCTACCCTAGCAACCCCCACGGGGAAGCCCATGCGGCCCCACACCATGATGTTCCCAGGGAGCATTCCGTGAACATGATTGTCACCGCGAGTGTGCCAAAGGGGCCGAAGATGAAGAGGACGGTCCGCGCTGTGCCACCGCACGCTCCAATTCAGCGTAGCGCTTTGCCGTGGCCTTTCCAACCCCTGCTCTTTTTCAATCGAAGCCGTGCGCCTCCCCCATCTCCTCACCAAGACTCAGCACCACCACAACTGCTGCAAATGTTTCCAGTGGCCCGTCCTTCGGGCTGGGCCGCCTCGTTTTGGTAACCCTGAAACCGATGGCCCCCGCGCGGCCCACCTCATCATGTTCTTGGGCGGAGGAGGCGGAGAACGAGGATGAGGAGGAGGAGGAGGAAGACGACGCGAAAAAGGCAAACGGCAACCAGAGACCCACGCAAACTCCACGGTGGCCCATGGGCGCCCAAGACGTCCCAGGATGATCAACTACAAAAAAGGCCCACAAACGCCCCCCAACAGGCCCCTGCGCTGTTTCCGTCGCCGTCCCAACGAACATCCTACAGGCTCCCGACCCACAATCCAGGACGGCGGCGGGATTGGCCCTTAGCCGTTGTGGTCGCTGCCGTAAGCCCCCGCGGTCTTTCTCACCCTCCTCGCACTGGCCTTCCCAGCCCCCGCCGTCTTTGCTTTGTCACTTCGCACCTCATCAGCTCTAACCTGATCCGCCTCTTCCCGAGGTATTTCGCATTATTCAATTTGGCCGTCCTTCGGGCTTACCAGCTTCAGTTGGGGTACATTGGAAACTTCCACCACGACCCCATCACGGCCTACACCATTATATTCTCAGAGTGTTTTCCGGGAGCACAATAGTCGCCGCCAGTCCGGCGAGAAGTCCGAAAAAGGAAGGGAATTGTTCGCGCCACCCCACCGACCCTTCAATTTTGAGTAGCGTTGCTACGGGCCCGTTCGCAGCAGAACCGAGGTCGGGCCCGCGGTCCCACTGTACTTGGACTCGCCGTGAACGGTACACCCCCCTCCGCTACGTCTCACATCCCTTGCCTTGGCCATCCAGTTCCCGGCGTTCCTGCTTCGTTACCAGGCGCTGTCCGCATCTCCCTTCCAGGCTTGGACGCCATGTCAACATGTGCAACTGTTCCCGCTGGGCCGTCCTTCGGGCTTTGCAGCCTCATTTGGGTGACCTTGGGACCGAGGCTCCAACGCGGCCCGCGCCATCGTGTTCCCAGAGGGCCTTCCGGGGACGCGATTGCCGCCACCAGCCCGACGAGCAAAACGAAGAGGAGGAGGAGGAGGAAGAAGAGGATGAGGAGGAGGAAAGAGGAGGAGGAGGAGGAGGAGGACAGGAAATTGATACACGCAAGCAACTCACGAGGCAAATATTGACGATGAGCCTGGCGACGACAATGAGGATGCCGGCCCACGAGGGGCGCTTCGGACGGCCCATAATGATAAACGACACAGGCCTAGAAACGGAACGCAAAAGGCCCAAACGCTGTTCCCGTCGACGTCCTGTTGCACATCCTACAGACTTTCGACCCGCGATCCAGGGACGGCGGCGGGATGGGCCGAAACTTCTTTCGGTCTGCGTCGTAACCCTCCCGCGATGTTTCGCACCTTCCCCCACTTGGCCTTGCCAGCTCCAGCTGCTTTCGTTTGTTACTTCGCATTTCCTCCAAGTCGTTCCCAAGTTCCACCTCCTCCCTCGTTCCCAAGGCTTTTCGAAAAATCCGTCGGGTCGTCCTGCAGGTTTCGCGGCCTCATTTGGGACGATTGAAGGCGACATTCATGTTCCCGGAAAGCCCGCCAGGAACGTGATTGTCGCCGCTTGCCGACAGGAAAAACGAAGGGGAACACGGGAGGAGGAGCGCGGAGGCAGAACACGAAGGTGACGATAACAAGGATGATTTGGATGTTGTGGAGGAGGAGGAAGAGGAGGAGGAGGAGGAGGAGGAGGAGGAGGAGGAGGCGGAGGAGGCGGAGGAGGACAAGGAGGAGGAGGAGAAGGGAAAAGGAGGAGGATAAGGTAGGAAGAACATCACGAAGCGGAGTGTCAGGAAGGAGAAGGAGTTCCTACCCATCCGTTGACCATCCCTCTTTTCATTTCCTGTCTCCTCCGCTGTTGCCTCCCATGCCTGTCTTCTTCCGTGTTTCCTTGCCTGTTTCCTTCCTTCCCGTTTCTTGTTCTCTCTCTCTCTCTCCTTCCCCTTTCCCCACCCGCGACGCCGACGACGACGGCGGCGACGACGCCGATGACGACGTCGACGCCGGGATTGCGCCTGCTTGCTGTGAGAATGGATGGGGATGAGGAAAATGGATAATGATGACGTTTCCGGAGATGACTAGAACCCAAGCGCGCGCTTACATGTATGAACACGTTTACGGTCAATGTGTGGGCGGAGGGGTAATGAGCGAACGTTGGCCGCATCAGAATGCATGGCAGCCTTTGTGGATCAGCGCCTTAGAAGGCCTGGGATGCTCCCTGTTTGCGCCACTGCGCGCTCCGCCGCCCCGCGGGCCCAGCGGCCTCGGATCTGCGGCTGGTGCGCTGGGCGCCTCGTCGAGGGCGAGAGTTTGGCCCTCGCGGAGGGCGGCGCGCTCCTGGAGGTGTGCGAGTTGTGCTACCTCCTCGCGCTGGCGCGCCAGGGGGCGTGCGAGGCGCGGCTAGCACCGCAGGAGCGGGCGCTGCTCGTCGAGCAGGCGCGGCTGCTGGCGGCGCAGATTACGGCGCTGTCGACCTTGTCGCCCGATGCCGCCTAAGGCCAAGGCCAAGGGCAAGGCGAAGGCGAAGGCTCTTCCTGCGCCTCTCGCTGCCGCCCGCGGGCGAGGCGCTGGACGTGGCGGAGGCCGGCGCGCTCGTGGGCGCGCTGGCGCAGCTGCTGGAGCGGCAGGTGCGCCCGTCGGCCTCGGAGGCGGCCTCGCGCCCGCAGCTGGAGGTGCAGCTGGCGGAGGCGCTGGAGGCGGCGCGGCTGGGGCGCCAGTGGTGCCAGGGCTCGGGGGCTTCCCTAGCTTGCCTGGAGCCATTGGCGTGGGCGCCGCGGGCGCGCCCCCCCCCTGCCCTCGGGGCGCCTGGCGACGGCGCTGGAGGCGGCGGCGGCGGAGCGGCGCTGGTTGGCGCGCTGGCCGCTGCAGGCGCTGGCGGAGCTGGAGGCGCGGGCGCGCCGCCTGGCGCGGGGCCCGCGGGACCGGGCGCTGCCCTCGGCGTCTTGGGAGGCGCGGTCGTCCCGGCTGCAGGAGCGCAGCTTGGCGGGCTCGTCGACGGAGCCTGGGCGCAGGCAGCCACCCTCGTCGGGGCCAACTGGAGCCAGGGCCTGGCCGTCGAGCTGCCGACCCACGACGTGGCGGGGGCGATCAGTGGGACCGCACTGTTCGAGATCGACGAGGTCGGCGTGCCAGGTGCTGGAGGCCAGTACCTCAGCGCGCAGTTCAGGGGCGCGTCGTTGCCTGCTGAAGCGATGCGCTTTGACGGCGCATTCCCTCCGCGCGGCGGCGGTCCTGCTGGGCTGCTGCACCTCTGCGCGCAGGGGCCAGCGCGGTGTGGCGAGCCTGCGCAGGCGGGCCGCGCCGTCCTGCACGTGGAGTGGCTGCGGCTGCGCTCGACGCGCGGGCTGGTGGAGCCCTGGGTGCGCCCGAGCGCCTTCGGCGGCCGTGGTGGCGGAGCTGGTCGAGGCGGTCCCGCTCCCATTCCTGGCGGACCCGCCGCCGACCGCCTGGCAGCTGCAGCAGCTGCCCGCGCGCTTGCGGTCGGAGGCGGTGGCGGCCGCGGCGTAGCAGGCCGCGGCAGGCGTCGGGCTCGCAGTGAGTCTGGCAGCCGCAGCGATGGCGAAGGCGAGCCGCGTTTTCGCGATGCCCCCTCCCGCGGCGGCAGCGTGCGGCTGCTGGCGGAGAGACAGCCTGGCGCCCTCTACGACGAGGCGATGCAGAACATCGCCCGCGTCATGGGCCTGCGGGAGGGGGCGGACGGTTCCGAGACGAGGCCGAAGGTGGTCGGCTACTTGCAGGCCATAGTGTTCGGCCACCACCCCGTGACCCAGCTGCGGGTCAACGCGGTGCGCGAGCTCCAGACCTTGGCGACGGCGCTGGGCCAGTTGGAGAGCGGCTCTCTGCCGCAGTTGAGCGACGTGCTGATGCAGAGGTTCAAGACGCTAGAGCTCTCGCTGTCGGACGCGGGCTGGCAGGTTGCGAGCGAGCTCGAGATCGCCCCAGACGTGAGGCCGTCGCTGGCGTCGATGGGCGAGCAGGATCTGGCGCGGCGCTCGGCGCTGCTGCGGGGGCGCTTGGAGGAGGCCAAGAGCCGCGGAGCCTTCGGGGCGTTCGGCCGCGGCCAGGGGCGCGGGTGACCCGATGGGGGGGGGGGCGCGGGAGGGCCAGCGGCCGCGCTCCCCCTCTCGACCCGCGCTTCAGCCAGCGCGGGAGCTCTCGCGCGGCAAGGGCAAGGGTCGAGGTCGCGGGCGGTTTCGCTATTTCCCGCTCCGAGGGAGCAGCCCCGCTCGCGCTCCAGGGGCGCCGGCGGCAGCGCCTCGGGCCGAGGAGGGGCCCGCCGCAGCGCCCTCAGGCCCCCGCGCGCGGACTCCGCCCCCTCAGGCGGAGCGGCCCCCCCGAGGAGACAGCCCTCACCCGCGCCGAGTTGCGCTGGCGGGGGGCCCCGAGCGCCACACCTTCAGGCAGGACGAGCCAGCAGCGGCGGCGGCAGCGCCCCAGGGGGCAGGGCGCGGTCGCCCGAGACGCCGCGGCGGCAGGGGACGCAACGCAGGGAGAGCCAACGGCTCGCGGCCCCGCCCGCCTGGCGGCCGCGGGGCTGGCCCCCCGGCGGCGGCGCGGTGAAAGCGCATGGTGGCGATGTTTCTGCTGATGGCGCCCAGGCCGCAGCAGCCGCTCCTTTGCTGGCTGCTGCGCCGGGCGGACCGCCTGGGGCCTCGCCGTCTCGTTCGCTACCTGACCACTGCGCTGCGGCCCCGCTGGGGTTGCCGCCTCCCGCTGCTGATGAGAATTCCTCTCGACACGATCCTCTGGAGGACTGGCGAGAGCTTGCTGGTACTGCTGGCGACTTGCTCCGTGAACCTTATGGCGTGGGCCCGATCCTTCTCAACCTCGTCAAGGATTTCCCTGGTTCGTTCGGCCGCTACGTCCGCGATTCCTTCAAACCTCAGCTGCGCGAGCATATGGCCACCATGGGAGGTCGGCTGCAACGTGACTTGCTGCCGTTACAGTACCCTACCATCGTGAAGACCGACGTCGTGCGCGACGGCGATGACCTTAGCGACCTGAACTGGGGGGCGCTCCATTGCAGGCTGGTTGTCGCGGTGCTGGCGCTCAACTGGGAGGCGGGCTTCCGCTCGCTGAAGTTCGCGCGCCATTGCCGCAGGCGCCCGAACGCTGCTCAGCGGGCAGCCTTGGCGGCCCTGGGCCGCCGCCTGTACCTGGCGACGCGCATCGAGACCAGCCTGCCTGCGGAGCTCAACTGGGAGGACCGTCTGAAGGACCGCAAGATCGGCTACGGTGGCGCCGAGATCACCGCGCCTCACAAGCTGACCTTGGAGCAGGTGCTGGACGGCTTGCCGCCGCCTGGCGTTGCGGCCTCGATTGAGGCGGCCGATGTCGCGACGGGCTTCGTGCGGGACGCGTTGCTGTCCTGGGCGGGTGCTGCTGCCGCCTGCGCTGCGCCGTGCGGCGCCGACTTCGGCGCGGATTTGGGCCTCGGAAGGCGAGTGGCATCGCGTCGTTGAGGCCCTGCATGAGCGCGGGGTGATCGGCCCGATCTCCGCGCCTGACATCGCGCACCGGGATGGGTCGCCGCTGCTGAACGGAGCCTTTGGGGTTCCGAAGGCCCACGACGCCCCTGTCACGTGCCAGGGCGGGGTGCTGAGGCCCGTGCTCAGGCTCATCACCAAACTGATCCCGTCGAACGCCTGCCAAGAGTGCATCGTTGGCGACGCGCCCGAGATGCCGACGATGAGCCAGCTGAACGGCCTAGTCTTGACGGAGTCCGAGGACTTGTTGTGGAGCGGCGCCGACAGGAAGGCCTTCTTCTACGTCTTCCGTGCACCGCCGCCGCGGCGGCCGTGCATGGTGATCGGGCCGCCCGTGCCGTCGCGCCTACTGGGCCTCAAGGACGGCGGCACTACCCACATCTGCCTGCGCGTGATCGGCATGGGCTGGATCAGCGCGGCGGGGGTCACGACTCATCTTCACCGCAACATGCTGCGCCGCAGCGGCGCGGTGCCTCGCGGCCTGAGCCCCAGCTGCGAGATTACCCGGCGCCGCCGCCTGCCGCTCGGTGCAGAGAAGCCCTGCCCGCCTGCGTGGATGGTGTACATCGACAACTTAGAGATCGCCGAGATCGTCGACAAATCGGAGGCCGACAATTTGCGGGACGGCCCCCGAGCTGCTGACTGACGCTCGGGCCTGCTACGAGGCCGCAGGGTCACCTGGCTCCCCGGGCAAGGGCCTGCACCGCGTGGTGCGCGCTACCACTCTGGGCGAGCTGGTTGATGGTGTTGAGGGTGTCCGTCGGCCACCTGCAGGATGCATTACTGAGATGGCCAGCCTCACGCTCTGGGTTCTGGGCAAAAGGCGAGCCAGCATGCGATTGATTCGCATTATTCTGGGGCGCTGGGTTCGCGCGCACTGCTTCCGCCGCCCGCTGGCCGCGAGCTTCGCTTACACCTGGAAGTGGCTCAACGACCCGCGCTGTGGAGGCCGCTTCAGCGCGAGCGTGATCGAGGACTTGTTGATGTGCCTGGCCCTGTCGGGGCTCTATGTGGCCGACATGAGGCTCGAGGTCGATCACCTGGTGACGGCGTCGGACGCGTCGGAGGCCGCTGGAGCCGTGGTGTACAGCACGGCGCTTACCGAGCGCGGCCGCGTCGTTGCGGGCAGGCGCCAGCGGCCCGCTAACGCCGCCTGCGAGGAGGAGACCGCCCTGATCACCGTCTTTGATGGCCTCGGTGGCGGGCGCAGAGCCTTCGAGACACTGGGCCTGGTACCAGCGGTGCACCTGTCGTTCGAGGTGGACCCGCAGGCGGTTCGCGTCGCGCGGCGCGCTTACCCTGGCACGCAGCACCTCGGAGATGTTACATCTGCTGACCCTGCTGCCCTGGCTGGTCTGCTGCGGGCCCGTGGCCGCATCGCCCGCGCGGTGGTCATCGGCGGCTTCCCGTGCCAGATCTACGCGAGCTTGGACGTCGACCGCAAGGGCTCGTCGGACTCGCGCGCCTCGCTGGTCGATCATATGGTGAGGGTCATCCGAGGCCTGCGCGCAGCCATGCCCGAGGTGAGCGTTGACTTCCTTGGGGAGAATGTAGCATCAATGGCAGAGTCCGACGTCCTTCATCTCAGCGGGTTGTTCGAGCGGATCCCTTTGGAGGTTGAGGCTGGTGACGTCGGCTGGGTGAGGCGTCCTCGTCTCTACTGGCCGTCCTGGGACTTGCTGCCGTCGTGCGAGGCCAAGGCCGTGATGGTGCTGACCAAGGGCGGCGCCTCTCGCCGCCTGTGCCGCGTGTCGCTGGAAGTGGAGCGCCCGCCGCTGGAGGAGTGGCTGCCCGCTGGCGCGCGCTGCCCTGGAGCGGAGGGCGGCGAGCCCCTCCCAACTTTCGTTCGCTGGACGCCGCGCTCGCAGCCGCGCCCCAGGCCCGCGGGCATCGGGGAGCGCACGGCTGCTGAGCTGACGCGCTGGGAGGAGGCGGCCTTTGCGGCGCCGCCCTACCAGTTCCGCGACAAGTGGTGCATTCATTGGCCTGACGGGCGGATCGCGCCTCCTGACGCGGTGATGAGGGAGAAGCTGATGGGCTTCGCCGAAGGCCACACCGTGCCCTGCATGACCAGCAGTGCGGCGAAGGCCGAGCCCGGCAAGTACGAGGGGTTGAGGCGTTCGCTGGTCGGCAACTCGTTCCAGTGCGAGGTGGTGGCGTGGCTGCTGGCGCACTGGGCTGTCGCGGCTGGGCTGCTGGTGGCGGTGCCGCCCTTCTCCGAGCTGCACGGGAGCGCTCGGGCCTGGGCTGGCGGGCGGAAGCTGCGGGCTGGCGACGCCGCCTCGCTGCGACGCAGCCGCGCGCAGGTCGACGCGGAGGTCTGCGGCGAGCTGATGGCCTGCATCGCAGCCGCATCGGCCGAACGCCAGCGGGCGGGCGAGCGGCCCGCCGCGGCGGCGCCGGCGGCGGCCGGCAGGCTCGTCTACGTCGGCCGCGGCTCACGGCGCTGGAGCCTCGCCCCGTCGTGTTTCGGCAACCCGTTCGCAGTGGTCCCGGGCTGCTCCCGCGAGGACGCGGTGGCGCTGTTTGCTGGATGGCTGCGCAAGCAGCCCGAGCTGCTTCGCCGCCTGGAGGACTTGCGCGGGGCCAAGCTGGTCTGCCACTGCAGTCAGTCCGAGGCATGTCATGCAGATGTGCTGCTTGCAGAACTGGCCAAACGCGATGCTACGTCCTGGCGTGATGCGGATGTCTCGCGTAGGCTGGTGATGGGTCTTGTGATGGCGTGCCACAGCAATGGTGCGGACCTTCGTTGCGACGGGAGCTCTGAGGAGCTCAGCAAAGTTTTCCCTCGGCAAGAGATTGATGCAGGTCTTTGGCAGTGGCGTAAGGCACGACAGCTGGTGTGGGATGTTCCTGAACATATCAATGTGCTGGAGTGCCAGGGAGCGCTGATGATGATTCGATGGCGCGCTCGATCTTTGAGCCGACAGCAGCGAGTCTTCTTGCACCTCCTCGACAGCATGGTCAACATCGGCGCCCTCTCGAAGCACCGCTCCAGCAGCAGTCAGCTCAACAAGGTTGTGCGCAGCTTCTCGGCCTGGGAGCTGGCGATGGGCGCGCGGGCAGCGCTCGGCTTCACCTTATCTGCTCGGAACCCCGCGGACGCGCCGTCGCGCCTGAAGGATGGGGAAGCGGTCTAGCCCCGCCGACAGGCGCGCGGCCAGAGCTGGCCTGGGGAAGCTGCGGGATGCCCGGATCGGCGCTGCCGCTCTCGCTAGATACCGTCGAGCAGCCCAGCAGCTTGTTGACTATCGCAACGCCATGAATCTGCCGTTGCCGTTCAATTGGGGAGACATGGATGTCACATTACAAGACTATCTTGAATACTTGTGGGCCGAAGGCGCCACCAAAGGTCAAGCTAACGACACACTGAGTGGGGTGCAGCACCTGTTGAGGACGCGCCGGCAGTACCCAGGCGCGTGGAGATTGCTGTCGGTCTGGGGGCGCCTAGAGGTGCCGCAGCGTGCGCCACCGATGCCGCCGCTGGTGTGCAGTGCGCTCGCAGGCTGGGCGCTGGGCCGCGGCGAGATCGCCTTCGCCGCGTCGATCCTCGCAGGCTTCCACCTCTGCCTTCGGACAGGCGAGGCTCTCGGCCTTTCCAGCAGCGTCATTCAGCTCAAGCCTTGCGGCAGAGGCGTAGTGTCGTTGCCCTGGACAAAGACAGCCTGTCAAAAAAAGACAGCACGAGAGACGGTGACGCTAGATGACCCGCTCGTGGGAGCGGTCGTCCATATGCAGCTGCAGCGTGACGGGCGTTTATGGCCCTCGTCTCCTCGTGCCTTTCATTTGCTCTTTCGCACTGGCCTGTGAGAGATTGGGCGCGCGCATCTCGGCCTCGTCCCGTACAGTTTGCGCCGAGGCGGTGCTGCGCACGAATGCTTGCTGTCAGGCGACTTGCCTAAAATGATGCTCCAAGGTCGTTGGAGCTCAATGAGGACAGCAAAGATTTACACTCAAGATGGGGCCGCGATTTTGGCCGAGATGCGTTTTCAGCCTGCCACCCGTTCTCACTCCAGACCTTCTCAGAGACCTTGATTGCCCGCGCTCGGGCATACTGTTGCAAGTAACCTCAAATCTCGGCCAGGTGCGACTGTCAGGGAATGTTGTGGGCGGCTTTCAGCCATATTTCGGAACACATTGCAGAGCTTTTGGGTGTTCTTGGAGTGGAGAGCTTCTCTCGGGCTTCTGGGCACAGCGTGGCGCGAGTCTGCCCCCCCTCGAGGCCCTCTTGGGACGGCGTTCTAACCCTGGTCGTTGGGCGACGGTGGTACACTCGAGGTGTGAATTCCTGCCGTGGCCTCGGGGTGAGCTCTGTGGCTCGCACATGCTGGCGCTGCTGTCTCGAGGCACTCGAAGCTCTGTCAACAGCTTTGGCCAACGAATAGAGGGAGTAAGAAGGGGCAAAGCCCAGAGTGAGTGATCATTGCATGTGTGGCTCCCTTTCATTCCCGATGAGCTACCGATCTAACCCCCGCCTGCGCACACATGCGCACGTTTACGGTCAATGTGTGGGCGGAGGGGTAATGAGCGAACGTTGGCCGCATCAGAATGCATGGCAGCCTTTGTGGCCCGCCCGCAATCCGCCCTGTGCCATGCCGTCCAGGCCCCTTTTCTGCCTGGCCGATCTTGCTCGTTCAGCGTCTCGCGCGAGCTTCTCTCGGGCTTCTGGGCACAGCGTGGTGCGAGTCTGCTCCCCCTCGAGGCCCTCTTGGGGCGGCGTTCTGACCCCGGTCGTTGGACGACGGTGGTACACTCGAGGTGTGAATTCCTGCCGTGGCCTCGGGGTGAGCCCTGTGGCTCGCACATGCTGGTGCTGTTGTCTCGAGGCACTCGAAGCTCTGTCAACAGCTTTGGCCAACGAATAGAGGGAGTAAGAAGGGGCAAAGCCCAGAGTGAGTGATCATTGCATGTGCGGCTCCCCTTTATTCCCGATGAGCTACCGATCTAACCCCCGCCTGCACACACGTATATAATTATATGTGTATGTCTACATATGTCTATGTTTACATATGTGGGAGTTACCGGGCCCCGGGCCAGAACCCCCCTTGTACATAGGTACTGGCCCCCTCCCGGGACGCCCCCCCAGCGGCCCCCGCGCGTTCCAGTCCGCCCAAGAAGGCTCCAACAGCGCCGAGAGAACCCAAGGATCGCTTCCAGACCGCCAGAGATCGCTGCCAGAAGGGCCAAGAGGCCTTCAAGCCGCCCCAAGAGGCCGCTAAGAGGCCCCCCAAAAGCGCCCCGGGAAACTAAAATGGCCCCATTCCATTTGTAAAACGTACATTGTTAGGATATCAGCTCCCTTGGACATCGGAGCGGTCAAAAAAAAACCTCAGAGGCGCCCGAGGACGCCCCAGGACGGCTGAGACAGCCCCAAGACGGCCCAGGAGGGCCTCCCGGGACGCTCCTCGGGCGGCCCCCCGACCTCCCAGTCCGCCCAAGATGGCCCAAGAGACTTCCCCGTCACCCCGAGAGGGCCCCCCCCAGAAGGCCTGAAGAGGCGCCCAAGAACGCCCCAAGACGCTCTAGGACAGCCCCGTATACACATCATAAAAGTAAATTGCCCCCCCCGCGGCCTGGGCCAGCCCACCCCGCAACCATCGGGGGAAGCCCGTTGATACCACCCCCGTTTCGTTCTCCAGAGGCGACCCGGAGAGGGTAAGAGGGTGCCAAACGAGCCAAGAGGGTTCCAAGAGGCCCGCAATACGGCGCAAGAAGGTCCCGAGCTGCCCAACACGGCCCAGGAGTACTCCCAGAGCACTCCCCAGAGGGACCCAAGAGGCCCAAATCATTAAATTCCTCTGGCGGAACATACATTTTTGGCATGTGCGACTTTTCAGCGTTCGCGGCTTTCACAACGGTCCAAGAGGCTCTAATTATTTCCTCAAGACAGCTCAAGACGTTCCCAAGAGGCCCCCAAGCCAGCCCAAGAGGGCGCCAAGACGGCCCAAAGGCTGCCTGAGACGAACACATTGGCCCCAAGACGGCGCCCAAGACGGCCCACAGAAGCCACAATCGTTGAACTCATACGGGGCAACGTACATGCGTTTTATGTGCGATTTGTCGGCCTTCGCGGCTTTGACGACGGGGCAAGAGGTTCCCCAGACTTGCCCAAGAGAGCCCGAGCCATTCCCAAGAGGCCCTCAAGACAGCCCACGAGAGGGCCAAGACGGCCCAATGGTTGCCAAAGATTGCCCAAGTTAGCCCCAAAACGGACCCCAAGAAGGCCCAAGAAGGCCCCGAGTCGCTCAAGATTGCCTACGATGGCCCCCAGAAGGTCCAAGAAGGCTCCGAGACGTCCCAAAATGCCTCCAAGAGCACTCCCAAGAGGATCCTTAGAGACCAAATTCGTTACATTCCTGAAAGTGACACTTACATTTTAAGCATGTACGGTTTTGGGACTTTCACGGCTTTGAAGACGGTCCAGGAGGACCCCAAGACTTCCCCAAGCGAACCGAAGACGCTCCCAAGAGGCCCCCAAGATAGCCAAAAGGGCGCCAAGACAGCCCAAGGGCCGACTAAGACGGGGGCACCGGGGGGCGGCCGCGGCGGCGCGGACCCGCGGGCCGCGCCCCGACAGGAGGAGGCCTCTGGCAGCAAGGCTGCCCCCTGAGCGGGCGCCTCGCGCCGCGCCCGCGGCGCGCGCGCGCGCCTCCTGTCAGGCAGTGGCGAAGCGTCCCGGCTTGTCTATAGGCCCACCAAATAATGTTCTGAGAACTTTTTGTTTTGGAGCAAAAAGTGGCATGAACATAAAAACTCGGAGGTCCGCGCGGATTTCTCGGATCGGCGCTGGACCCCCCTCCCTGGCGCGCGAAGCGCGCCAGGGGCGGCGCCGGAGGCGCCGCCGGGGGGCTCCAGGGCCGATCCGAGAAATCCGCGCGCACCTCCGAGTTTTTATGTTTATGTCACTTTTTGTTCCCCTATTTTGAGGTCTGTGCGCAATGCTCTCAGAGCATCTCTGGCCAAGACCGTCCTGCGTTAACACCTCGGGTGTCTGTTCCAGGAGCATCGCTTTTGCTATATATGGGTTCCAGAGGCATGTCCTGGTGGGTCTACAGGAATGCCAGGACGGTCGGTGCCTGCTCAATCCTGTCCTGCGCCCTCTCGGCGCGACCTGTGCGCAGGCGCGCGCCGGGGCTCCGACGCCGCGGCTCCGCCGTCGGGGCCGTCGCCGCGTCCCCGCCGCGGCTGCCGTCGCCGTCGTGCCGCTGGGCTCCGGCCGTCCCCCCGTCGTCGCCGCCGTCGTCGTCGCTGCCGCGGCCGTCGCTGCCGCGGCCGCCGTCGTCGTCGTCGTCGCCGTCGTCGCCGTCGTCGCCGTCGTCGCCGTGGTCGTCGCCGTCGTCGTCGTCGTCGTCGTCGTCGTCGCCGCCGCCGTCGTCGTCGTCGCCGTCGTCGTCGTCGCCGTCGTCGTCGTCGCAGCCGCCGTCGTCGCTTCCGCGGCCGTCGCCGCCGATGCCGTCCTCGGGTTACAGTCGGCCCGCATAGTAAGGATAAGCGACTTTCCAAGGATACCCTTTCATCCTTCCCCTTCGCTGGGGGAAGGAGAGGCGACACCGACTCGGCCACGCGCACAGGGGGGGGGTAGGGGGAGGGGAGCAGGCTTCTTGTAAGCACCCTTGCTTCTTAGAAGGCCCAGGCCTTCCCTATAGACGTAAGGCCGGGGCGCTCTAAGAAGCTGGATGCTTCTAAGAAGCCTTCCCCCCTCCCCCTACCCCCTTGTGCGCGCCGCCAAGAGCGACATTCCAAGGATATTCTTGTATCCGTCCCCTTCGTGGGGTGAGGGAGCAGCGAGACCAACTCGCCCACGCGCAGATGGGGGTAGGGGGAGGGGGAAGGCTTCTTAGAAGCACCCCTGCTTATAAGGGCCCGCGCCTTCTAAGAAGCAGGGATGCTTTTAAGAAGCCTTCCCCCCTGCCCCACCCCTTTTTGCGCGCCGCCAAGAACGACTTTCCAAGGATGCCCTTGCATCCTTCCACTTCGCGGGGCGAGGGAGCAGCGAGACCGACACCACCAGGGGGCCACCTCCAGCGAAGAGGTCCACGAGGCCTCCCCGAGCTGGGGATAGCGGATGGAGGAATACTCCAGAACAGTTTCAAGATAGTAGGGCGACTATTTTCCCTGCTCTTTTGACCATTGCGGATTT